TCTCTCCCAAACAAGCTCTTAAATAGTTTAAAATCACTTTCCAAATATGCTTTTAAGGCATATATATATATTTGAAATGGTCAGAAAGATGGAGCAAATGACAAAAAGTCCGCCACCAGTAGGTGTTGGGTCTTTATCACTTTCCCAACTGTGTCTATATGTGTGTGTGCGCGTGCATCAGAAGTATCATGTAGATGTACGACTTTTTATCAAGCTATTGATACATTGGTAATTATAAAAAAAAAAGGGACCCCACGTATCTGTGTGTATTGGCTTTTTGTATATATTTTTTTCTGCGCACATTCCTCGTTACAACAGGACTCAAAAGTGTGGTAGGTATCTTTCTTGACTATCTCTATCCTAAACCTCTATTTCCATATATTAATACTAAACATGCAATTTAATTTCTAATTAATCATAAGAAATATCCAAGTTTCAAAAGCTTCATTAATCTAAGCCTATGTTCCTCTTGTACATAAACTGTTCATAAATACTCAAAACAACTTTTTATCTACATTTTGGAGGGATCTACAAATACTGCACATTTATTCGTCAATCATTTCTGTCTATTTATAAGTTAAATCATTTATAAATACCTCGCAAACGTTAACTCAGGCCAAAGTACAAAAATGGCAGCTGCTGAAGCAAGTGTAGTTGGCTATGATCGAATGAAGGAAGTGAAAGAGTTTGATGACTCTAAAATAGGTGTAAAAGGCCTCTCTGATTCTGGCATCACGATCATTCCAAAATTCTTTGTACACCCACCAGAAACTCTTTCCGATGTTAAGTCCTCCTCTGCACAGATCGAAATCCCCGTTATTGATCTTGCCAACGTTGGTTCTGATCATCACCGGTCTAAGATCATTGAACAAATCCGAGATGCTGCAAAAATATGGGGTTTCTTCCAAGTCATCAATCATGGTGTACAAGTTTCAGTACTGGAAGACACCATAGCTGCAATCAAGGCATTTCACGAGCAGCCAATGGAGATAAAGGCAAAACACTACTTACGCGAAGAGGGACGAGGAGTCATGTATGCAAGTAACAACGACTTGTTCCGCGCTAAGGCCGCGTGCTGGCATGACTCCCTGCAAGTGTGGATGTCACCAGAGCCACCGCAGGTAGAGGAGATACCCGGGATTTGTAGGAAAGAAGTGGTGGAATGGGATAAGCATGCAAAGAAGGTAGCTGATACAGTTATGGAGCTGCTGTCTCTGGGATTAGGATTAGAGGCTGGCAAGTTTAGGGATTTGACATTTTCTGATAGTAGGGTTTTTGTAGGGCATATATATCCTTATTGCCCTCAGGCAGATCTCACAATGGGTATCACACCACACACTGATCCTGGAATTGTTACAGTTTTGCTGCAGAATCAGATCCAGGGGCTGCAGGTAAAACATGAGAATCAATGGGTAGATGTAAAGCCTGTTCCTGGAGGGTTAATTGTAAACATCGGAGATTTTCTTCAGGTAACCCTTCGAAAAGCTTACCAAAATTACTTTTTTAAAATTAATTAAATGAGTCCAAAAACAGCTTTTAGGTCTCAAAAACTCATTTTGACTTTTCAAAAGCTATACAAAATGGCCCTTAGCTTCATAAGAATCAAGAATCATGATCGTGTGCTCAAATCATGTTTTGTATTATCATGCACTTAATTATATACTTGGTAGCATCTAATCATATTTCCCAATGAATATAACTAAAAGCATCCTTGGTGTAGACTTGTTTTCCATACACAACTAGTAGTTGCCATTGGCAAAGCCTTAGAGCTTTCTATTGGAAACAAAAGGACGAATTGCTTCTTTATTTTTAACACGCGCTTTAACAAGTTTTTATAGTGTAAGAATTGATTTTCACATGTTCACCTCACAAACCAGCTTGATTGAAGAAAAAGTGATAACTCTCTTACTAGTTTGTCATCCAATATATGTGCAGATAGTATCAAATGGCGAATACAAAAGTGTACAGCATCGGGTTTTGGCTAACTCTTCCATGGAATCTCGTATTTCTGTCGTCATGTTTTTCAATCTGGCCAAATGGAGAGAAACCGGGAAGTATGGACCTCTCCCGGAGTTGTTGACAACGGAAAAAGCGGCTCTATATCGGGATTTTACAGCAGAAGAGTTCCTCCAGAACTTCTACAGCAAAGGGTTGGATAGCAAATCTTTCATAGAGAAAATCAAACTGTAGATCGTTCATAATCTATTAATTGATGAAGTAAAAGATGTCGGCTTTTAAAATTTCTCCAAATAAAGTAGTGTTGCATATCCATGGAGAAGGTGAATAATTTTGACTTTTGTTTGTCATGCTTGATTGTTATCAATAATACAATTTTTAAAGAATGGTATGTTCGACTCTTATCTCGCTTATATTTTTAGAGATCTCAATAGGAGTGAATAGTTGTGTAATAGTCATAAGTG